TGGATTGAGCTAAGGATAGGCCTCTTCTAGAATCAAGTTATGTTAAAAACTTTAGCCTAGACCTGAGTGGAGTTAGAAGTGGGCCTGTCCAAGGTAATGTAGCATAGTGAGCCTGGCAGCCGGGCTCAGTTCCTCATTGGCTGTGTGATCTGGACAAGTTACTTAACTTCTCTGTGCCTCAGTTTCTTTTCCCTGTAAAAATGGGTATTATAATACCGTCTTCCTCCTAGGATCAATATGAGGAATAAATAAATTAACATTTGTAAAGTTTTAGAACGGTTCCTGACACCATGGGATCTATATTTGTTAAATAAATAAATATTCTGAGAAAGAAAGAAAATTGTATGAAAACTACCAAATAGTATCTTCCCCTTAGGAAAAGAAAGAGCTAGAGAGAAAACAATTAGATAATTCTGGACCAGCAATAAATCTCTTAAAAATAAGTTGTCCTATAAAATACTACACACACACACACACACACACACACACACACACACGCGCGCGCGCGCGCGCATGCAGGCACAACTGAAGAAATGAAAATGCAGCCTGCAGCCTCTGGACGTGTCCCTGAAGCTTACATCTCTCGCATTAGGGGATCAGTTGTGTTGTTTCCACATCCTTTGCTCAGATGTACTTCCCGTGTGTGTAAAATGCTTCTAAAGGACGTGTGAGGTGCACATACCAACAGGGCAGCTTCCACACCAGAACTAGACTGCTTGGCTCTGTTCAAAAGCCCACCAGGACATCTCTCTCACACTTTATAACTTACTGTGGAGGCAGGAGATTTTACTTCAGTCGCCAGGCTGGGAGGGCACCCACAGGAGCTCCAGATGCTACTGGAAGCTTTGGGGGAAGAGTGGGTGGATGGACCTGAGAAACATCAGAAAATCACGTGTTTGACTCTACAGCTTTGAGAGTAATAAAGAAATCCAAACTTGATCCTCATCCACAATGAAACTTCTTTCTCACCTGTGCACGTGGACCTCTCTTAGTGTGGCTTATAGGAGGCAGAAGGAATAGAAGGATGTCCAGATGGAACACCTTCATTGTTCGTGGTCCCGAGGCAGTGGAGTCCAATAGTCCTAAAAGTATAGCGGGAATTCTTCTTGGGCTGGCTACTTTTGTACCTACTTCTTGTTTTTAACCTATTTTGGTTAAGAAGTGGTACCAGTTAGGCCAAGAGCATGTATTTCCTCTGACATAAGCAGGGATTGGCCTTGTTTTAAAGCCCAAAATATCTAGAGGAATCAATTACAGAGCCAGTTGACCAAATTTTTTCCATATTAACTCTAGTTCTGGCAACATTTTAATTGTATCTTTCCTGAGAGTTATACAGTAACTCTTATATCATGTCACACTATGTACTAATATACCATTATAGGTCATAATCCCCATAACCTACAAGTTGAGAGGATTTTAGAGCTAAAGTGATCTTCAGAATCCTCTGTATCAACATTTCCAAGCATGGTTTTTTGTTTGTTGGTTTTTTTAAATGAAAATTCAGGGCTCCATTCATAAATGAATCCTGTCTTCAAATGCTTTTGGAAAGACTCTATTAGTATCCTCCTCTCAGCAATCTATAATACAACACCTTCGCATTAGAAAAGGTTCCAAGAAGCCCTACAGTAAAGAAATCGCTCTTGCCTTATTTAAGCCAGCGACTCCCAAATCTACATAACTAGAGACTCCTTTTCATATGTAACACCCGCTTCCATCGCGCAGAATTATTAGTTCGAAGAACACCCTGGAAAGTACTGATTTATGTATCTCATCTAGCTGATGGCCTCCCGCTTCATCAGAATAACATTTAAGGACTGTGAGCTCCACAGGCCTTTCTGGAACACCATACGCTGTGTGGAAATAAACAAAGATCAACCACACGAGAACAGGCAAGTGCTGTTTATTCAGAGCTTGCTATCGCCACCATCACCTGTGCTTTGGCAAGGACTCAAAGGCCGGCAGAGGAGTGGGAAAGGTTTATCGTGAAAAAAGAGGAGGCTTCAAGCGTGTCCATATTGGAGGCTCTCAGCCTGCGGCAGCTGTGGAAATGGCCCTCTGTGATGTTTAGGGTGCATATTTTACCTCATCTGGTTGGACCTGAGCGGGAAGTGGGAACAAAAATTAGAGCAGTTGTCAGTTATTAATCAAGTCCTGTCTTTGGGGGCCAGTTGCTATAGGGGTTCTTGTTCGGCTTCTTGGGCTGTTTGTGAGAGGCAGTGGTGTGACTTCCTACAAGTTTGACTGCTAAATAACAGATTGGCTTCCTGGGCTGGTTGTTGTCAATAATGTGCTGGTTTCTTGAATTGGTTGCTGCAGACTGTGGGTCAGTTATGTTTTAATTTGTGGTCTTGCCATTGTCCATTTGTATATTCAGTCTTTTAGTCGAGAAAAAGAAAGGGGATCAGAGATCAACTAAGGAGGTAGAGTAGTCTGCTGGCCGCAGTCGTAGGCCTATTGGGTGACATAGTCATTAAATCTACGTGAAGATTTAGAACTCTGGGCTCTTTGGAACTTCAAGTTCATTCAAAGGGAATGGGCTCTTGGCTTTAGAACTTGGGAGAAATATATATCCCTCTGACATTTAAAATAAAATAACAAAAGAAAACTAGTTTTCTTTCCTTCTTTCTTTCTTTCTTTCTTTCTTTCTTTCTTTCTTTCTTTCTTTCTTTCTTTCTTTCTTTCTTTCTCTTTCTTTCTTTCTTTCCTTCCTTCCTTCCTTCCTTCCTTCCTTCCTTCCCTCCCTCCCTCCCTCCCTCCCTCCTTCCTTCTTTCTTTCTCCTTTTCTGTCTTTGGAGATTGCACATGAAGTCTGTTCAGTCATTCTTTTCTCAATCATAGGTAGAAAAAAAAAATAATGTTCTCTCTGAAGAAAACATAGTGAGAGGTATTTTGTTTGAAAAAAAAGAGGCATTCAGCAGAAATGTGTCCCAAAATAATATTAAAATAAAATAAAAAAACTAAGCCTGACTGCATGTCAAGGGCACACTGAAAAAGAATTCTATGACTCAGCGAGAAAACATACACTTTAAAACATCCCTTTCGTTTTAACTAATGGAAATATTATCTGTAAGTGAGCACAGAAAAAGCCTTTCCAAACATTAACGGTTATGTAACTGTTTGCCTGACTGGTGCAGCTTAAATGCATCCAGCAGAGTTGTCCCCCAGCAGTTAAGTAATGGGGTTCAGTTGTCTGGCTCATCGTGGGGGGATGTTGGGCACTGTCACCCCTACCAGCCCCCTCCACCCCACCCCACATTCATGCTCATTCTTTTAGTTTGTCTTCCCTCTGCTGTTCTGCACAAAAGCCTAGGAAGTTGTAACAAAAGCACCAATGAAGAAATGCCAGGTTTACCCAGTTGCGGGGATGAGAGAGGGATAAGGAGGAGGAGGAGGATAGCATTATGGAGGCCAGGCGTGTGCATGGTGCTTTATCTTCTCTCAAAGTACTTTCATGCCCATAATTGTATTTTGTTCTCACGAGCTACCTGCAAAATAGATAGGATGGCTACTATCATCCCCATTTTTCAGACGTGAAAACGGAAACAAACGCGTTGCTAGCCCAGAGTCACACGGCTGGTGGGAATCACAGAATTGAAAAGGAAGCAAGAGGTCATCTTCACTAAGTCTCTTACTTTACAGATGAAACCAGTTGAAACCAAGAGATCCCCTAGACAGGTAGCCAGAGAGGATACTCAGGCTGTGACAACAAAAAGTCGTGGGTATAAAAGTGACTATCATTCTGAAACTGCCTCCTGCAGCATCATAGCCAGCCTAGAACTCGGGCCCCCGGATTTCTTGCCTGTTTCTTTTTCCACTAGAAAACAATTCAGTTAAAGGGAGGTTTTCCTAATAAGTTGAAAAATCTTTATTTACTGGGCTTGCTATTTTTTTAGTAAATAGGCTTTTTAAAGTAACCGCAAAGCTGATGAGCTTCCATAGCTAGGGAGTACATGTTATGGTGAATGGTTCTACATATCACACATACCATGTGCTCTAATGAAATGTACCTTTAAGGTATGTGAATGAAGTCTTGTAAAGTTAGCATTTCATTTATATGCTTTTGAAGTTAACAGCGAGGTTAAAAGCCAAAGTATGTAGTGGTATGACTGGTGGTTGTCGCAACGCTTAACGCCCTAAAAGAAGAACATTTGAAAGTCAGAGTACTGGAAACCTTCTCTAAGTTTCAGCTAACTTACCTTTGATTGCCTAAGATAAAATGTAAGCAATTGATTCACTAAGCACCTTTCCTGACCTTTTTTTCTTTTTGCCTTACCAATAATTATTCCCGTATGATTCACACAGGAATGGAAATTTGGTAATTACTCAGCTAATTTGATCAAGGTTGACAAGCAGCTAATTAATCCTGCCTACTCTTCATCCAGTTTAGGTATTAAATTAGTTGATTTAGCCTGAAGGACTGGCAGGATAATTCACTATATATGCATTATTGCCATTATATTTGCACACACATGTACATAGTCTCTCTATATAGTGTGTACATATATAAGTTTACTATATATACGTATGTGTGTATACAAATGTATACACATACACATATGCAAATATGTACATATATATTCCTGTAGCTTACACATATAGCAAACATTAGGCATATAAATGAAGCTAAAATTGGTTTTCTAAACTTAGCAAGGTGATTTTTTTATTTCCTGTGGCCTAATTATTTTGTTTCTCTAGCATTTTATATTTATAGTAATGGCTAGAATTAAAATAGGGTGACGTTCTTTCTCCGAGGTGCTCGAGGAAGGACAGCCCATTAATAACCTCTCTAAGAGGCTCCAAAGATGTGTTTATTGAGAATGACCTTGGACAACTAACTTAGTTTCTCAGATCCATAGTTTTTCCATTGATAAAAGGGGGACCATAAGTGCCTACCGCAATGCCTGGCACATAGATGGCGCTCAATATGCGTCCAGCCCTGCCCCTTAATGAGTTAGTCACCCTGACACTGTCCCTTCTGGTAAAAGAGAAATAAGCGTTATCAGCCTCAGAGTAATTAAAACTTAAATACCGAACACGAATCAGTTAAATGAGACAGGAAAATCAATGTTATCAGGTACGTGAGCTGAGTCAATTGCTGCAACCGTTAGAGTAAGAATCTGGTGTATTACAGTAAGCCTGGAGTTTATTGTAAATGTGTTATGGGGATATTGTGGGGGAATGAATAAGAGCTCCAGCCCTGGCCTCTGGAACATGTGGAACCCCATCCTGGCTTGCCTGTTATCTTAGGGACCTTATATAAGGACCGTCTCTGAGCCTCAGTTTTCTCATTTGTAAAATTCGAATAATAACACCTATCCCACAAGGATGAAACGGCTTAACATTTGCAAAGGGCTTAGCAAAGTGCCTGGCACAGGAAAGCGTTCAATAAATGATAGCTGCTGTTACTATGACTTCAGAAATGCTCTCCATCAAGGAACACTGCATCGTTTTCTCACAATTACAACCCCAATTACAACCTGACACAATCAAGTCAGGTCGTGTTTTCCATCTGGGACGCGTGAACCAATCCAGCGCGCTGAGCCTGCGTCTCCTCTGTCCCCAGGGATGGTGAACTTCAGCGAAGTGTCCGGATACCCGCTGCGGCAGCTCTGGAAGGTCCGGTCTGTGATGTACCACCTCAAACTCAACCAAGTCGCCGTCTCTCAGGGTGAGCGCCGCGCGGGCCAGCCTCCCACCTCCCCAGGGATCAGGTTCCTTTCCACGGGGACAAGCTTTTGGTCCTGCTGTTGAAGGTGCAGCCTAAAATGTAGCTGCTCCATGATCTCTCCACTCAGATTCACCCTGAAGGGCACATGGCTGGCAGGGGACCCTTTTCTAAGCACAGATTACATTGCGCGTTTTATCTTGGCCTGTGGAAGAGGTGGAAGGGGCAAGGCTGGAACCAACGAAGATACCGTTTTTACTGGGGGTCTTCCGGTAGGCAGAGAGGAGATGCAAAAGCAGACGTTTTACAAACTGACAGAATAAAACATTCCAAATGCAACGTGTGTAATTTAGAGGTTCCATGCAATGAAATAAGGGAAAGAGAGCAAGGAGAGGAGGGAGGGGGAAAAGCAAACAGCTTAAGGCTCCTAAAGAGCAAATGAGTGAAATAGAGTTTGAGAGATTGAGAAGGGGAGAGGGGGAGGGGGGAAGAGAGGTGTCTACATCCAGAGCTAGCAAGTTTAGTAAGCTAAACTTACTTAGGGTCTTAGGGTCAGCATTAGGGAGGTGAAGCCTTGGGGCCAACAGGAGGAAGATCAATGCTAGAGGACAAATAGAAGGTTACGAAGAGAAGTAAGACATAGACTCACTCTGTGCATAAAGACAATGCATTAAGGATATAAATCATTTCCGCAGGGCACGAAGGGATTCAGAGCTTCTTCTTTTTTAACATGAAGGAGTTCTCAGCAAGAAGTGGTTGGGATGAGGACCCTACCGAAGGAAACTGCTGGTGCAAAACATCTAGAAAGAACTAAGCTGATCTTCAGTGTAGGGAAACACGGCAGCGGCAGCTTCACCCTGTTCACACTCAGTTTGCAGCCAGCACAGGTGCCGTGCACACCAGGGGCTGACAACTGAATACCTCCGCTGCCACATTCCTTTCAAAGTCACAAAAGGTGTTGCAGGGGACATGGACCTTGGCACGGGGCTCCTCCTCACCCTGGCAGGACACAGGCGTGTGGAAAGGAGAACTGTGTAACACTGGCCAGATCCAGCAGGTATCAGATGTGGAAAAGGTATTATAGGCCACCTCTCAAACAAGTTTGCAGTAATTCTCTTAAAGAGAGACAGCAAAGCCAAGGACATTTCCTGGGGTGGGAAGGGGAAGACAAACGTCTTTCTTCCACTTGTCACTTCCCAGTCCTTTTACTTCTGATGTTCTGAAATAAAATAGAAGCAGCGTATTAGTGACTTTTTTTTTACCTTTCTCTTTCCGTTATCTTCCCATTGCCCATTTCTATGCCTGAAGGCAATATTCTGCAGTGGCCTTTTTTTTGGTCACAGTTAGAATACATCTTCTGTTGTGACCTTATACATACACACACTCCCACACACGCACAAACGAAGTTTCATGAAGCAATACTGCGTCTTCCTATGTGAAACGTCCTCTGCTGGTATTTGTGCTTCTATTTTAGGCTATGCTATTCTTTTTTGTTTTTTTTTTTTTCCCCAAATGCTATTATTTGAACTCACTAAATTGACTCAATGTCGTGACCTGTGATTAAAAAGAAGAAGAAAACACTGACTTAAGGTGGGGCAGGAGTAGAGATTTGGCAATGTTCTATTTAACTTGCACAAAGTCAACAACCCAACCAAGTGGCTTAAAAGTTATTCTCTTAGGAATTGAAATGTCTGGTTTAGCTACGTGGAAACATCCACCTAACAGCTCCAGCCAGCTCTGCAGCATCACTTTGGGCCACACAGGCACTTCTGCATTTGGGCTGAATTGCCTGGGAATCCATATACCCAAATTGTGAGTCCTGACTCTTGCTCCTGGGTGATGTTTCTCCATAGCCCTCAACAATGCTCTCCACTCGCTGGATGGGGCTACGTCTCGTGCAGATTTTGTGGCTTTGTTGGACCAGTTTGGCAACCATTACATCCAGGAAGCTATCTACGGCTTCGAGGAGTCCTGTTCTATCTGGTACCCAAACAAGCAGGTCCAGCGGCGACTCTGGATGGAATATGAAGACATCAGTAAAGGTGAGTGGCCTGCTCACCAGCAAATTCTACACCCCCTGCCAGCACTGGCTGCCCAAGTGCAATCCATAGGACCAAACTTAAGGAGTCCATAGGGACATAATCAATTCAGATTTTCCCTCATTTTTCTGTGCTGATCCTTAAAATTTCCAAGATCTGGTTGCTAAAACTAAATCTCAAAATGAAGGTGTTTGGGGGATTTTAGATGCAGGATGGGGTCAAAACTGTATGGTCACTGTGTTAGTTATCACAGAGAGAGTCCTCTAAAGGTTTTTGCCAGCCACCATCCACTGTGCTACACAGCGAAGGCCAAGTATTAGATTGCTCATAGGGAGCAGGAGAGCAGGATTCAGTCCCCCCCCCACCTCCTTCCTCCAGCAGCCCCACCCTGCACGGCCTGGTGTCCCTCTACAGCAGTTTGCACGGTAAACCCCTCCTCGCTCCGTCCTGCCCATGTGCAGGCTCACTTTTCCTACTGTTTGCATTATAAGGAAATCTCCACTGGTCCAAGTGTTTATACAGGTCAGTTTAACAGGCTCACAAATAAAAATCCTTGTCTGCTGTCTTGATAGCGAGTTAGTATTCAGTCCAAGTAAGTGTAAGATATTGGAATTTTTGAAACCCCCTCAATTCACCTTCTGGTACAGCAGGAGCACTGGCCAGTATGTTTGTAATCTGATCAACCAAGACTACTTTAGAATTGCCATTGACGGGATTTCTTCTGAGCTTATCCACAGGGCATTTGGATGAGGCCAAGTTGTGGATATGTGGCTTGCTAAATGACGCAATGAAAACTCAAGAAATAAGTCATCTTAAGACTCAGTGTCCAAGGAAGGGTTCCTCTGAGACAAGGGACCTCTGCTGTCAGCAGAGCTACTGTGAGGGCACATGTGACCCCGTGGCTGAGACGCGTTAGGGTCTCTGAGCTCTATGTTAATCCCTATTTTGCCTTGCTCGAGAGGTAGCAGAGCCGTGACAGCCTCTCCTCCGGCTGGGCACTTTCTCCCGGAAGAAGCAAGAGATGTGTGTCTGGGCCACGGTTGCTGCAGTCATCCCCCAAGTCCTGGTACTTCTAAACTCAAAGACACAACCACAGGCTTCTGGGATCTCTTCAGACTTAAGGATCCTAACATTGTTCTGATTCCAATTTGCCAAGAGAGCAGTGCAATGTAAGCAAATATAGACAATACCAGTTCCAGTTGGCAAAGCTGTCTTATGTGTCTATGCCAGAGCCTGGGGACTGAACCAGAGAGCTGAATCCTCTTCTATTTCTGTTCGCCGGTGGCTCCAGGATTGCCAGGGTCTGTGATTTGTGGAGATGAGAGTCTGACCTCACTCAGAGCTCCTGGTTCTCTGTCCTTTGCTTCTAGCCCGAGTGCTGCAGTATCCTGAGGGCTCAACACTGAGCCCAAGAGGGAAATACGTCCACACTTTGGCATTATTCCCTACCCATCTCGATCTCAAGCCTCTCTTGCCACCCAGGGGCTTTTTTTGCCTCAGCCCAACTGTTGACTCTAGTTCTTTGAAATATGATTTAAATAACTCCTTGCTTGGAATGGATTTTAAAAGATATTCAAACATTTTATTATGTCAACTTCAGCCTCTGTCAGTTGTCCATGTCTACCACCTAAGCCTTGCCTCTGTGTTATAGGGTTTATATGTTTTGTTGTTTGGTCTGGTTCTTGCTTTAAATATTTTTCCCCTCCCTATCCCTAATTTTCTTTCATTCCAGAGCCCTGCATGGGAGCATGCTACTGATTAGGAATGAGGAGTGCACAGGACGCAGGAGGAGGATGTGCTTCTCTTCTGCACTCTGAGAGGATCAGTGCAGAGTGAGGCTTTACGCTAGGGTGACAAGGGTGCTGAGAGGGCTGTGCCTTCCGTGGCACACAGACGGACACTCTTTTTGGACTTGAGACCTCGGATTCTATGTTGTTGCCTGCTCTAACTTTAAAATGCTTCTAGTGAAAAGGGTTTCTCTGTTTTTTTTTATTTCTGTCCCTATGACCAGACACCAAAAAATTGCTTATGGATTGAATAGGAAAGAAAAATTTACCAAGGTGAAATGAGATGGGAAGAGCACAGGATTTAAGGGTTGGAAATCTAGACTCAGGCAGGGGGCACTGCTTTAGTCAGTTACTTCTCTGGACCCCATCTGCAAGGCCCTCTGTGCCCCCAGCTGTGATAATGTATGGAGCCCTATGAATTCTGCTTTATCTGGGAAAGTGTACTCACGTTAGTCGTTTAGGTAAAAAGTCTCCTCTTCTTTCTACAAAATCACGAAATTCTCAAGAGTAGGTTCTATGCCTTGTTCCATTTTGAATTCCCAGATTCTACCACAGTGCCAAGCACATAGCGAGCACTCGACAATTGTTCGTTGTTGCTGTCATTGTCAGTGGTGGGGGGTGGTAGTGGTAGTGGTGGTGGTAAAAGCCCGTCTGCTGTGGTGACGTCCACTGGGTTTTCGTGTAGACATGTGACATGCTTTAGTTACACCTGACTGACGAAGATTCAAGGTGGATGTTTTGGGCCAGATCTTCAGAAGGAAGCCATGCATTCAACAGGGCCTCATTCGTCATACTTCACCTGCGCGGTTTGGCCATAACAACCTCGAGGATCACCTCTCTCTAAATAAGTCTTACAGAAGCCTGTGGAAAACATACTTCCATTTCTAATCACCTAAGATTAGCCTATCTTAGTTTTGATTTACAAAGCAATTGAAGACAATAAGAAATGACATTCTCTAATTCTCCCACCTCCCCGCCCCGTGTCTAAACTTGTCTCTATTGTCTCCCATCATCCTTGGCCTCAGAAAATGTTGCGAGCCCCACTCCCCCGCCCCCGCTTCATGCTACCCTCCCTTCCTGTGCACGGGCTCCCATCCCTCTCTGCTGCCTCTGAGACCTCCCTCACTCACTATTCCTCTCCTCTCTCATCTTTGCCGTCTCTTCAGCCCCTGAATTCTCTCTTCCCCAGCCTCATGTCTTCTAAAAAATGATCTTTTTTATAAACATGTGACCCTTTTCCCCACTGTTTCTTTTTAATGCATTACCACCGAATTACTTAAAAGAGTGATTTATACATCTTTTCTCTACTTTCTCAACTCCATTTTACTCTTCAAATTATTGCTTTCAACTCTTAACACTTTGCTCTACAGACACAGTGCTGGAGAAGGAGGCCAGGGCTTCCTCCTCAGAGGTTCCCTGATGCCCATCCTGGGACCATTCCATCTGTCTGAGCTGAACAATTTATCCCTCCCGGCCAGAGCCACCTTCTTTTTTTTTTTTTTTTTGAGACAGAGTATAACTGTGTTGCCCAGGCTAGAGTGAGTGCCGTGGCATCAGCCTAGCTCACAGCAACCTCAGACTCCTGGGTTTAAGCGATCCTCCTGCCTCAGCCTCCCGAGTAGCTGGGATTACAGGCATGCACCACCATGCCCGGCTAATTTTTTCTATATATTTTTAGTTGTCCAATTAATTTCTTTCTAATTTTAGTAGAGACGGGGTCTCACTCTTGCTCAGGCTGGTCTCGAACTCCTGAGCTCAAACAATCCGCCCGCCTCGGCCTCCCAGAGAGCTAGGATTACAGGCGTGAGCCACCGCGCCCGGCCCAGAGCCACCTTCTTGAAAATTCTCTCTTCCCTTGTTGCCCCCAGTGCTATTCTGTCCAGATGCTCTTCATAAATCTCTGGCCTTTATTTCTCATTCATTTTTGACCGTACTCCTCTAAAGAAATCATTTGCATTTTCATTGTTTGTTACAGAGTTTTGCTCTTAACAGATCTCTCTTCTTCACTACTGCTGGGTGCTTCCCTTCTGCATCTGCCCCGGCCTACACCTCGAATCCTCTCCGTTTCCCTGAGGTTCAAAACCTCAATGGCTCTTGAGTGTGGAGCATCTTCCCCTGGATAGTCTACGGGACCTCAGTGACCAGCTCTCTGTTCTCTCCCCACGTGCACCCCGCTGTGTCGGTGTGAGCTCCACCACGGACGACGGTGAGGAGTCCTCGAGGCTCCTCCACCCCCACAGTCAACCGCCACGACGTCCTCTTTGCCGCCTAAATATGTCTTCAACAGGTGTCCCTCCTCTCCATTCCTTCCAGGATCTCTTTATAAAAACGATTGAAATAGCTTCCTCACGTATCTCCTTTGCTTCAGTTTCCTGCCACTCGACTCCATTCGATACTTCACCATCTGTTATCTTTTTAAAATGCAACTTAATGGCATCACTCAGCTCGACGCCCTCCACGAACTCCTTACTGCCTTCTCAGCAGGAACGGCTGACTTCGCTCCCTGAATCAGTGCCCTATGGCTGCTGTAACAAATTACCACAAACTCGGTGGCTTCAAACAACACATATCTATTCTCTTACAGTTCTGGAGGCCGGAAGTCCAAAATCAGTTTCGCTGGACTGAAGTCGAGGTGTCAGCGGGTTTGGTTCCTTCTGGAGACTCGAGGGAGGAATCCCTCTCTTTGTCCTTTCCAGCTCCTAAAGCACCTGTATTCCTTGGCTTGTGGCCCCTTCTTCCATTTTCGAAGTACATCTCTCCAATCTCTGAGTTACATGGCCTTCTCCGTGGCTCTGACTCCTCCAGTATCCCTTTTATAAGGACCCTTTTGATTACATTGGGCGCAGCCAGATAATCCAGGATAATATCCCCATTTTTAAGAGCCTTAATTTAATCACATCTGCAAAATCCCCTTTGCCATTCACAAGTTCCAGAGTTTAGGACTCGGGGGACCGTTAGTCAGGCTGCCACCCCCTCCGACCTCTCCAGCCATTGCATCACTGACCACTGCCTACCCTGAGTACCCTCCGCTCTGATGGCACAGGGTTACTTGCTGTCAATCCAGAACCTGTTTGTTTGCTTTCGCGTAGTTCAGGGCCCCAGAGGCTCCCTCCCTGCCCCAGGCCAAGGCCACAGATGTGCTCTCTAAAGTCTCTACTGCTACTCTGCCTCACTCAGAAATTTGCTCTTGGGTCCCTCTCTTGTCCTCCATTTGAA